GAACGACATCACGGTAGTGCCGCATGGCTTCAAACCTGCGCTTACAAGAGTCAGGGTCGCGGCCCTGACTCCTCAGCCACTGCTGCCGTCCATCATCATCAAAGGGTGGGGGTGACATGAGAAATATGCCGCCAACAGGGGCCGCGTGCTTGCGCACAAGGCCAATAATTGCCTTCAGATTCACCCTGTACTCCTCCAGTGGCACGTGTTGAGGCAAGCCAGCGCAATCATTGGACCCAAGCATTAGAGTCACAAATAGCGGCTTGTTGATGTATGGGGGAAGAAGATGCTGACGCCTCTCGTCATCATTCAGTATATCCAGTATCCAGCGTGTGTTGTAGCCGCTTAGCCCGCGATTCACCACATCTGCGCGGCGCACGTAACGCTCGCTAAGGCGCGAGGCCCAGCCGGAGAAGTAACCCTGTTCCGTTAACGAGTCCCCAAGAAGAATAGCTGCGCGCATTGAATGTAAAAGAAGTCGCAAAAGTATCAACTGACAAAAATTCGAAAGGAACAATAAAAAAGAGAATTAAGAAATCTGATGAAAGGGGAGTGAGTGGGTAAGAAGGTGAGTCTTCCTCCTCTCTTAGCCTTTGGACTCACTCCCAGTACAGGGGTACCGTTACATTTTTTAATTTGAAATACCCAACACACGCAGGCAAATAGATTGCGGAGGATGGTCGCAGCTGATGCACTAAAGAACAAAAAAAAGTAAAAACACGAAAGGTTTCTTCTGTGACAATGATTCGATAGGAGCTCTGGAGTGTATGTGTGGCATCTTTTTTCTCATACTCCTGAGAGAGAGAAAGGGCGAGACGCAATGCAAATGACGGTCATCATCATCATCAGCTCATCGCACTCGCGGCGGCAGATGCAGCGACTGTCCCAGCAAAAGGCACTCTCTCTTGTGGCGCATACTATGTGCTGAGTAAAAAAAAAAAAAACGCGGATTGAAATTCGCCTCCCTTCTTCCATACCTGCTGTGGCCGCACGAACCACCTTTTTATGCAGCGCAGTGTGGTTACATCACTGCTTACAGCACCGTGTGGTGGCCGCCCTGGTGATCGCAGCTTGTATGTGCCTCTCATGCGTCTTGAGCATTGTGGCAACCGACCTCGCCATCGCCTGCTCCACACACAGAGAGAGAGAAAAAGAGGAAGGGAGAGAGATTGAAGAATAGGAGATGGAGGGAAGCAAGGTAAGCAAAGGAAACAAAGGAAACGAAGGAAACGAAGGAAACAAAGGAAACAAAGGAAACAAAGGAAACAAAGGAAACAAGGGAAGCAGTAGCAGCCAGGAAGTAGCCATGCTAAGCAAAGAAGGAAACAAAGTGAGAAAGGGAAAGAAGAAGAAATATACATATATTGAAAAAACACAAAGGAGAGAAAGTGTGAGACAAGAGGTAGGGCGCATCGCATCTCCAGGAACTCCCTCTTTATTTATTTTTTTTGCATTTTTTTTTCTCTTGCATTTTCTTCCTGATTATTTGTACTTTGTTGTTGCTTTGTTTCGCCGTGCTTACCTGGCAAAAACACCACAGAAGAACAAAAAAAAAAAAAATTGCTTTTCCCGCCTTCGCCGCTGCCCCCTGCCTGGCACATAGGAAAGAAGAAAAGAAAAACTGCGTGCAATGAATCCTTCTACATCACCTGCTTTGTCAGCCAACCCCAGTCACGCTCTCTCACTTTCTCGCCTCCCGCAATGCGACCACAATTTTGAGCAGGCACAGTAAGCGTCCATCTACAGTAGTGATGGTGCCGGATATAACCATATCAAACGTGAAGAAACAAAGAGGGATAACAAGGGGAGGGGGACAGAGAGAGAGAGAGAGCAAAAAAAAAAAATCAGCACAGAAAAGTCAAGACGACGTATGTCGGTGCCCCACAAGAAACACCTTCCTCATACCCTCGCCGAACACCCACCTCGACCCTGCATAGTCTTCTGTTTCCCCTTACCCTCGCTCACGTTACTGCCCTATTAACAACCAACTCAAAAACGTTCCACTTTCAAATAAGGCGCACAGAAACGATAGGATTAGCAGTGCCGCCAACACCTGGGAGGAGACACGAAACAATAGGCACTCCTTCCATAGTGGTCGCTGCTGCCGCGCCAACCCAGGCTTGAAATGTAAAGCTGCGGCAGCTGAGCGCAAGCTGGGATCCTTGATCCCAGCAACGTTGTTGTTGACACCTGAAAGTCTCTCTAAAGGAGGCAGAGGCTTTGGTGAAGGCAAACCACCCAAGGAGCCTGCATAGGGAGACGGCCTATCTCGGTTTCTGACGGACGCAGAAAGCAAAGAACGCGGCAGGGCACGTGGCGGAGATTTTCTTGTTGTGTCTGTATTATTCGTATTGGGACGCGTTTTTGGGACCATTGATGATGGCAATGCAAAGACGGCGTCATTCTTTGAGGGAGTGAGAGGCTGCGGGGGCACCGCCGACTTTGGTTTGTCTCCACTTAACCGCATTACAAGAGTCTCTGGAATGGCTGCCTCTCCGTACACGCAGCTCAATTTGCGGCACTCAGCTCGTAGACCTTTTGGCTTCGATGACCCAAGCATCTTCCAGAAGGCAGCCGCCTGTTCTGAATACATCCCAGCAGTCCCACCTTCAGTTTTCTCTCCATTTTTACCTTCATTTATGTTTTCAATGTACGTCTTTGCCTGATCCTTGGGCAAAACAGCGATATCCACCAGCAGATCATCCTTTGTATTTGCATCCGGCAGAATTACAGCAGCTTCCGTGCCTTGTTCATTGGCTTGTTGCCGCAGATGCGGCACGTTAAGAAGAAACCTGATTTTAACGCTTTCTGTAGGAAATATCAAGCCAGTTGAGGGTCGCACGTTGTAGCGACAACGAACCGTGGCAAGCACCTTGAAAGCAATAACATTTTCCGCCTTGTTCTCTGTTCGCTCAAGCAAATTCTTCACCTGAACGATGTTTTCAATGATGATGTCCTTGAGAGGAAGTGGAAAGTACAGGGAGTCCTGTGACAACTGCACCAAAGGCCCAGGAACAATCGCCATTCGGGGATTATATTTATATCTTTGTATGTGCGGACTGCAGACAGAAGTAGTATGCGTGCCCTACTACTTCTGTTTGCTTTCTTTTTAGAGAAGGGCCAAGGGTGGATGTTTGGCTCTTGCGTGAATACGGGCGAGGGTGACGATGTCTTGGAGGTGGTCCACCAGCACGCAGGACAGCGGGGCAATACCACTCGAAGCCAAAAACTCAAAATAGACAATAAAAACAAAACAAACAACAAAAGCGCTTCTTCTTCTACCGCTTTTGTGGCTTCTCTGGTTGGCCTCTGCTGTAAGTGTAGCGGCAAGGCGCTTGTTCCCACTTGGAGAAGCAGCGCTAAACAAACACACATGCAGAAGAGGAGAAAAGTAAATAAGCAAACAAAAAAACATGACGGTTCATTTAGGCGCGGCAAGGGGACCAAGTCTGACTCACAACCCCGAGAGGCACACACACCTTGCATGGCACCACAGACCGCACGCATGCGTGGCAGAAAGGAGAGTAAACTCATAAACTATCATAAGGAAGGGGATCTTTACTCCTCCTACGTACCGCGTTCTTCACTGAAGCACGGCGGGCACGTAACGAACCAAGCCATAAATAGATGGTGGGGGATATGGTTTAAGCAAAGAAAACAAAAAAAAAAACTAAAGCACCATCAACGCATGATGTCATCAGTAATAATGAATGGCAGTAAGAATGGCACCAGTAATGAGAGGAGAGGGGGGTGTAGACGACAATAACCATACTGACAACAATAAGAAAGGTAGAGAGAGTGGAGGAGCAAGAAAAAAAAGGGGGAGGAAAGAAGACAAATTCATCCCCACACATTCCAACGGCGGGTTCTCTCAATTTATCCTTTTTTGTTGTTCTTTGTTGCTGTTGTTTGTGTTGTTGTTGTTTTCTCCCACGATTTGTCTTCTCTCCTTCACACAGGCAGACACACACACACACACACACACACACACGCATACAACAACAAAACCAAAGAATGACAAAAAGATCTGTCTCACAAAGACACACAATTAAAAAGCAGCAGAAGCAATAGGCGGCGACAGCTGCGGCCGCCGCACTGAAAGAAACATCACATACACACAAACACCCGAACCAGGTAATCTCACGTGCCCATGAGGTGCATGCAGAAGCGGTGGAGCGTAAAAGAAAAAAAAAAAAGAGGGGTTGCGTCATAAGCAAAAAAAAAACAAAGAACAGATAAGAGTAAATGCAACAACGCGGTGGCCTCGCTCTATCTGCGCATGCATCCTTCCCTTCTCCCCCTCCCACGTTATATTGGTAAAAAAACTGCATGTGCCGATGAGAGCTGCCTTATTGTCCCTATCCACGCCCCTCACACGCACAGAGATATGATATATATGTATGGTGTACAGGATGGGGAGGAGAGTGAAAAGACATCACCGAAAGAATACATTTATGACAAATAAGCAATGCGTGACACCAAGTTACCCCTCAGTGTATCCTCTACTTCTTTTGCTTGTCTATTCTTTTTTTTTCTCGTGGTTTATAGCCGCCTTCCCCGGCCTCCCCATGAACGTTTTGTCACCGCTCCCTTGTCCTGCCCGCTCAAGAGGGGCACACACACCCCCACCCACCCCCTGCGCATCCCCCCGTGTAACGTCATATTTTATTTTATTTTTGTAAATCGCATGCCACGCACCCCGCTGGGCATGTGAAGAAGAAAAGGGGGAGAGGTAGTCGCCATCAGTGGGGAGCAGCTGTCGGCTCCAACGAGATCGCCGCGATGACGGTTCTGCTTTTTTCCCATGTCATTCCATGCATCCAGGGATGCTGCAGAAGCGCAGTAGCCGTCAACTCCGCCGCAGCAGCAGCAGCATTTCGCCGAGCGTCTTTCATGCTGTCACTGTCACCGCTCACGGGGCGGCTGCCGTTATCCTTACCGTTACCCCTCGCCTGCAGCATCCCTCGTGACTCTGGTAGCGTTAGTGATAGTGGTGGTGGCAACTCCTGCACGACGTCGGCGTGAGATTCCGGCGGCGGGCTTGGAACTGAGGTCCAGGCCTCAAAAGGCACCAGGGCGTCATTCCCGACGCAAGCCTCAAAATCGCTTTCCGCCTCACCCCCCGCCTCTGCCTCCACCTCACACTCTGCACTAGTAGAGGCGCAGAACAAATCACCCCCGCCCCGGCCCCCAAAATAGTATGTGCAGGACTGGGTTGAATCAGTATCGTCCTCCTCCGTGAAGGCAAGTGAAGTAACGCGACCTCGCCCACGGGAGACAGGCAATAGTGTGGCAACAAAGTCCTTAAATGCCTCGGAAAACGCGGTCAACGTTGAAGTGACCCGTGTCTCTTGCTCGTCAAGTGCCCAGGTCTCTCTCTCGCCACGAGTGAACTCGGTGGAGAGGCGTGGTGGACGCGTGGCGAAACCGGCAATGACAAATACGTTCGGGGAAAACGGCAGCTTCCCAAGTGCCAGCTGAATCAACGTAATGCCAAGGCCCCAGAAGTCACTCTCCTTACCATAGACCGAATCCGCATCCACTCGACTGGGAGACATGTAGGCCAGCGTGCCAACATAAGTGCCGCACTGATTAAACCCCATGCTTTGCAGCTGATCCGAGGAAATACCAAAATCGGTCAGCTTTACCGCACCAGAGTGCCTGTCAAGAAGAATGTTGTGTGGTTTTAAGTCACGATGGAGTTGGCGTATGGTATCGTGTAGGTAGCGTAGGCCATGCAAAACTTGAAAGGTAATCGCACGACACTCTTCTTCACTGAAAGGACAACAGCGGCGTGCGTTTAGAGCGTCAAGGAGGCTCCCACTGTCCATCAGTTCCATTACAATAAACGCATAGCCATCTTCAAAAAAGGCATCGTAGAAGCGCACCACCCCACTGTAATCATTGACGTCAATGTCGCCATCATCATCCTTATGGGTGTCGCTTATGACCCGGGAACAGGACGGCTCGGATGATTCCGCCATGTTCAAGCTGTTGCCGTTGCCGTTGCCTCTGCAGTCGTCACTCAGTCCTATGCTGCGACGCAGCACGGAGAGTTCATTCTCCACATGTCCTCGTGAGAGCTCTGTGAGATAAATGCGTTTTACCGCCACCAGCTCCCCCGTATCCAGGCGTCGTACCGCAAACAACTCTCCACTCGATCCACGCCCAATCCTTGTAGTGCTGTCCATGCCTTGCACAGAGACTATCTTCAACTGTGAAGTGAACTTCGAATGCGCCATCGACCGTGTGTTGGAGCATGGTTCTGAGCTCATACAAGGCGAAAAGGGTCCAGCGCTGGAGTTATCACGCCAACTCACGGAGCAGTTGGCTAACTGTGGGTCCTCCCATTTCATTCGCAGCATGCATTTTTCCACATTTTCCATCGATGGTGGCATCTCCTGAAGGCAGCTTTGCAGATATAGACAAAGGAGACTCGGGATTCGTCGTCGCCGTTCTCTCCCAAATATTTCATGTGTATTCTGGATTTCGCCCCCTGTAGTGAGGTTAGTTCCGCCCTGGCGAAACACGACCTCCGTTGGTGTTTGTGGTGATTGGATGGATGTCTGCGTACCAATCATGGTGTCCAGTGGAGAAGCCTCACGCACAGAATTGCAACACGACCACGCTAGAGCCTTTTCAAATATTGCAAACAGTGCCCGCGAGGACATGGATGTTTCATGAACATTCCTTAGCAACTCTATGAGAACAAGACGCTCCTGTGAAAGTTTCCCTCCACCTTCCTTCCTGTTATCGCAGCTGAAGCAATTAGGGGTGTTGAGACGACTCATCCGCAGTTGCGACATACCGTCATTGTTGTTGCTAAACTCGCGCTCACTTACTGTGTCTCCTGAGAAGTGTGTCTTCATTGGTAGCACTTGCGGTGTTGCGATATGCTGCTGCAACAGTTCGTTGGCGACAACAAAGACCTGTTCATCCTCCGTGGGGTAGTCGCTGAAGAACCTGTGGAGGGCGCCGTTGTCTCGCTCATTCGCCTCCATCGATGGTGTCCCTTGAGCCACAGAGCCACACTCGCTGGGGGTGGCGTCGGAGTTTCTCCTCTCCATTCGCAACGCGCCAAGGTAACATGTTGAGGTGTCGCGGCCTCTGACGGCGCCGCCGCTTGTGATTGCCAAGGAGTCCCCGTAGATTGATAGGCAACGGCGCGGGAGCCGCGCGTGGAACTGTCGCAGGAGGTGTCGCAGGAGCCGCTCCAGCACGGTTTCCTTGCACTCCTGGGTATCAGCGGTGCCGCCGTCGCTGCTCGCCACGCGCTGCTCCGTGAGGCCCATCTCCTCCAGCAGCGCCAGAACGAGCGGCCTGCGGGTCAGCGAGTGCACCGTCCGCGGGAACGCATTGTTGAATGCGGGAATAATGTCTGGCCTCGAAGTATTGTAGGTGCGGAAGGCAAACTGGCGGAGCAACGCGTTGGCCAACTCCACCGCCTGCTGCGGAGGCGGAAGCGCGAAGAACTCCGCCACCTCGCCTCGCCCAGACTTGTCACCGCCAATCACTACGGGCGCACCGTCCGTCAGCTGTGGGAGCTGCAGGTTAGTTGCCTCAAGAAAGGGAGGAGGGTGTTCATCAAAGAGTGACTTCTCCAAAGAGATTCGCGGCAGTCGCGCCTGCATCCACCGCAACAAACGTGTCCGCTTGACTCCTCACGTGGAAGTTTGTGCGTGTATCCTCGCACTCTCTCCCCTCTCTCTCTTTCTCTCGCCTTGGGAAGGCTGAACGGCGGTCACCTCACTCCTTTCTATTTGTCCACACCCTTCTTGTCTAACGCAAATACTTTGGCACGCGCGTTGACAAGAAACAAAATACAGAAGGAAAAAAAAAACATAATAATAAAAAGCAAACCATTATGCACAGATACACACGCAAGTAAACAATGCAACTGAGAGAAACAAGTCAACCACAAAGCTTCAACTAACATCGTTGTTAACAGTACACAGGAGGATATATATATATATATATAGAAAAAAAGAAAGGAGATTGCACGGGTGTGTGTGTGTGTGTGTGCTCGTCATGGGAGGTTCACCTGCAATGTACCCCACCACCACCACGCCCGTTATCATCTTGTAAATATATATCATTGTCTTGAATGTGTTTGCGTTACTCGGCGCCATAAGAGTTACAAGTACACACACGTACACAGGAAAAAGAAAAAAAAGAGGCAACAAACACACCGCTACTAGCGGCTGCAGTGCCAACACAAGAAGCAGTAATGCCGACGGCGGAGTTGCCTCACACCAGTAGGCTGCCGTGAAACCCAGCGGAGCAAAAAAGGCAAAAATTAAAAAACAAAAAAAACATTTTCTCTCCTTCCCAGCTGCACGTGTGTAGGCGTATACACATATACCTCTCTAGGAGTGCCCTTTTTTTTCTTTTCCTTTTTTTATCTTCTTGCTGGCACACTTTCTATCCTTTCTCGTTTGACGGCGTGCTTGCCTGTTTGCCTCTCTGCGTCAGCAGGTTTGAGATGCTGGAAGGAGGGGGAAGGACCTGTTCTGCCCATCCCTTCATCACTCTCCCCTTCCCCCACCCCCAGCACGCCATCTCTCATTCGCCAATCTTCACACGTGTTATGCCGTGCCGCCTTCGGCATCGCAACGCCCGTGTCTGGGAGGGTAGCGGTGTACAGCTGCAAGCCACTGTCGGGGTCGGCGAGAGATTGATAATGCCGCATATCGCATTCTCGTAAATTTGTGTGTGCAGTCGACAGAAACGACTAGTCCACGTTTTCGTCATTCAGCGCAGTGCACTCCACGAAGAGCAGGTTGTCGTCATCCTCAAACTGCGCCGCATCCTCGTGGAAAACCTCGCAATTCTCGTCGAGGTCTGACTTGTTGCCCACAAGCATCATGACGGCGTGCGGGTTGGTGTTGCCGCGCGCGTCATGCAGCCACGTCGCTATGCGAGGAAACGTCTCCTAGCACGAGATGTTGCACACAAGCAGAGCCCCTGCCGCCCCATGGTAAAACCCGCGCGTAACGGAGCAAAATCGTCCCTGCCTCGCCGTGTCCCAAATCTGCAGCTTCACCGTCGCGCCGTTGATGCTCACAGCCATTGTGCCAAACTCCACGCCAATTGTGTGCGGGAGACCGTTGCAAAAGCGCCGCCCCGTGAAGCGCCGCATGAGACAACTCTTCCCCGCTCCCATGTCTCCAATAATAACGTACTTGAAGATCCACTTGTGGTTCATGTGTTGTGCCCCTCTCGTGTCGGTGGCACGAGACAGTGCAGGCATAAACTAATCAAGAGCCGCGGCGGCATCACCGTGGCAAGCGCAGTTTGTCACACTTCCAAGTAGTCTCCAGGAGGCAAAGCCAAAAACAGCAAAAGGTAGGCGGGGAGAAGAAGAGAAGAAAATCAAAAACAAAAAAGAACAGAAAGAAGACATACAACTCACGTTGCGTTGTAGTGCCACGCACAACGAAGAAAACGAAGGCCGTTGCTTTGCGTCGCATCGCTCTTTCCGCCTTCGTGCCGGCGGCCAGGCACAACACACACACCGCCAGTGACATGCGGTGTCGACCGCGGAAGGAGGGCGACGGCGAAGGAAAAGAAGAACAAACTGCAAACAAGACAAAACAAAAATAAAGGGGTGACCCAGCGCAAAATAAGGCGTCCCATCCATTCGTTCAAAACATCTCTCCAACCTCCTTTACTACTTCTCGCTGCTTTTTTATCCTTATTTTGCCGCCGCTTCTCTCCCCCTCCTACTTGGTGTTGGTTGCTTGCTCCCTCCTATTGCGCGCCCATCACCCCCTTTTCGTTGTTGTTTTTATTTTTCTTCTGCTTCTACTTCTTTCCCTGCAAGAACGATCTCTGCCTGTACATTTTCAGTCAGCAACTCAGATGGTACACGTGAATACAAAAAGGCACCCGTACCCACGCAAAAAAGACGAGCAAGCAAGCCACGACCATACCTCCATATATATATATATATATATAATGAGAGAGATAGAGATAGAGGAGCCTGTGTCGTCGTCTACAGCTCTCCCGCGCTAGTACCCCGGGCGCACCTCCCACCGCACCGTCTCCTGCCCATTCACCAGAAGCACAGCGTTTCCCTTGAATCCCTGCGTCAACCGCACATCCCCCTCGTACAGTGTCCAGCTGGCGTCAATCGGGAGCAGCCGGATATTCTTCACCACAGCGCTCAGCATGGTGTCCTCAGCGACAAGCACGACTTCCACGTGGAGCGGGTTCGTACGGTTGGCGCATGCGCTTAGCCGTTCGTACTCATTACGCAAATTCTGCTGACGTTTGGCGCGAAGAGTGCACTCACGTCCCAGGTGCACCAACTCCTCCTGCGCATCCACCAGGGTTTGGCGTAAGTCCTCAACATTGTGTTTCATTTCAAAAGTGCGCTGCAACAGCTCATCCTCCTGTCGCTTAAGCCTGGCCAGTTCTTTGCCGCGCTTTTTCGCCATGCTTTTTTGAAGTTGTGCTAATTGCTGCTGCGCGGGGCCCTCATGCTCCTGTAACTCCTCCTCAGCAGCCTTCAATTTGACCATCGTAGAGGTGATCACCTCGTTCATCCGCTGCGGGCCTCCACTCGCCGAGCACTCAAAAAACGACTCCTTTGCAAGCAGAAGCTGAACGTTCTCAATGCTGCGCTGCAGGTAGGCAAAGTGTGGTATTTGTATGGCGATATGCCGCATTTCACCGTCTGCAATCAACGTTCCCCTAAGCGGTTCAATGATGGTTGCGCAGAGCTCCTGAAAGTTCATAGTCACGAGTGGCCAGCCGTACGGCTCCTCCTTTACCTCCATAGGCGCCTCACACCTCCTGTGTAGTAAAACCGGTGGCATCCGAGCCACCACGGCGTCCTTCTCTCCTGCAGACAGCAGGGAAGTGGAGTGTATGAGGCTCAAGGAACGGTCGCTGGCGCGCTGCACCGTAGTCACACGAACGAAGCCAATGCTTGTAAACGAACCCATAACATTGGCGCTCTTGTCCCGCTCAAACAAATGCACGAGAAGGGGTTGGCCTGACCAGCGGTGCCACGCCGCTTCCATGTCGAGTAGGATCTCCACCTCTTGAATGTTATTGCGGCTGCGCTGCACCAGCAACAACTCGTGGTCTAGCAGTGGGACGGAGGGAACTGGCTCGAAAGCGCAACACACCGTCGCGGTGAGGTCAGCGGTGTTTGGATCCGCCCGCACAAGCACCCGCGCCACACGCTGCCCCCTACTCACCAGTATGGGATGCGCTACGGGCTCCACAACTTCGACGCCCAGTGAGGACTGAATGTGCACCACAGCCTGTCGAGTGGGTTCTGCTTGCAGGGAAACTGCGCCGGGACCGTTAAGGATGCGATGCAGCTGCGGAAGAGTAAAATCATGGCGTTCGTGAATGACGCTCAGCTCCTCAAAACTGGTGGCGATGAGGATGGTGACGCTCACCGTCCCGTCTGGTGACCGAACCCAACCACCACCGAACAGGCGACCATTGGCCCAAAGAAGCGGGCTCGTTTTCGTATGTTTTGTTGGAGGAAAAAGTGGAGACTCACTTGCGTCACGAGTGGCATTTTGTGCCTGCACAGTAAACTGTGACGCACGCATCCCAAGCAGCATCCGAATTAACATCTTGCGTGGAGCAAAGGCACCACAAAGCTGCATCCCACGAATAACACCAGAATAATACCCATAGTGGCTGCAGGCGTTCATTGCCGCCTTCGCAAGGTGCTCACTCTCGTGGGTAAGCTCGTGCGTTGGAAAAGTATGCGGGGTGTGGTGTTCTGAAAAAGCCATGTACGAACCCAACAGCGAGGCGGTCGCTCGGTCAAAATCATCCTCCCTCCGCGGGTGCAGCGTGTCCAGGAGGCCGTTCTCATTGTTCCGGTTACTGTCATTCTGCTGCAATGTGGTGTGACCCCACTCTTCTGAAAATGTTGGCTGTAACATTGGTGAACGCATCATAGATAAGCTGTGTTCGCTGCTCAAAAAACCCTGACTTTGCGGGAGCCGCAGTGCTTCCCCAGCACCAACCGTGTTGCCCGGTGGAGTGGAGGTTACGAGCGGTGGCGTATTTGACGATGACAGATTCATGCGAGATGCCTGGTGGCACTCGCTCCCGATGTCTCGCGCGGCAAGTGTCAGGCTGCGGCTGTACGCGAGCTCCGGCACCGCCTTCACCTCCTGTAGCTCCTTCACGCACCTGATGATTAGGTTTGCCCCGTCAATCGCCCACCTGCAGGAGCGCTCCACGTGCAGCAATCTCGAGTTGGCTTCCGCCGACTGCTGCGTGTAGCGGTCGGTGAGCTCCTGTGCGGCGCGCTGCCTATCCACGACGTAGTCTTCCTCCTTCATCGGCTGGGAGCGTTGCTTGCGGCCAACTGCACCGCTCCGCCTGGCCTTTTTCGCGCGCTCCAAATCCTCCAGTCCCCACCGCTCCCTCATGGCCGCCTCTGACTCAATCCATTCCTTCCGTATATGCTGCAGTGACTCCTTCACCTCCCGCTGCTCCCGCTGGAAGTCCTCAATGTACACGCGAAGCTGCTCAAGCGTCATCTCCGAGCACAGCGCCGGAAGCGGATCGTCCCGCACAAACGGGTACCCCACCGTTGCCTCCGACCCCACCACCGAGGCAAACGCAACAGGATCCCTGCGCAGCGCGTTGATCTCCTCAAGAACAGACTGTTCATACTCGCTGTATTCATCCTCTTTGCACAGCACCGCCTGCCGCAGCGCGGCCGTGCTCTCGAAGTGCCGCTTCGGTGGCGACGTCGAGCAGAGCATGAGATTGGCGGGCGTTGTCGCGTGTCCACGTATTCGCGCACACCAAACGAGGCCCTCTGTTCGGTGTTTACTTCCTTGCCGCCCAAATAAATAAGCACAAGAAGAAAAAAAAAGCTTTCCCCCCCCCCCCCCCTCCTCTCCCCTCTTCTGCGTTGGTTAGTGTCCTGTCGCGTTGTCCCCGACTCTCGTTTCCTGGCGACGGTGTGTGGCGTGTGTAGCTGGTTTCCCTTGCAGCAACACCGTGGACCCTGTGGTTAAATCGCAATAGAATCACAAAAAAAAAAAGGTGTGCAGATAAACAACTCTACCGCAGAAATAAAGTGAAAAGTCAAAGACTGCCCAAATGCAGCATAAAACGCCTACCGCGCTCGCCGTGCAGTTGGCACTTGAAATGGAAACACACAAACGGAAACAGCGAGAAAAGTCGCGTCAGCTCTCCCTGTTTCCTCTCAAAATCCCCGCTGGCTACCCATTTGGGGAGAAACTCCATACAACGTGCCTTACTCCTGCTACTCTTGCACACACACACACTCTCCGTTTTGTTTTTCCTTTTGTTTGTGTTTTGGAAACAGAAAGAAATTATTTTGTCACTATTGCTGTTCCGCCCTTAGCCCTTCATGTGCGGCACTCGCCGCCGTTGCTGTCTTCGCTAGCAGTTGCCTTGACTGGGTGAGGCTCTCATGCGCCGCACAGCACATGGAACGTGCTGGTCAGCCGTGGGCTTCGCTTCCACGCAGGTATAAACAGACAGGCCGTCATCACGGGGCGTGTGTCAGTCAAGTCGCTTTGCTAACTTCTGGCGATCGTAGCGATCCCTCATCCAATCCCACTCTGCCTTTGCGCCCTCACCATTCACAAGCATCGACAACGCTGCCGATAAGCAACAGAAAATAAGACCATATCGGTACATGTTTGCCTGGTACTTCACCCACGTCGCCATGGTGTGTGTATGTATGATTATTTTTGCGTGTTTGTTTGGATGTGAGTTCCCTTGTTTTACCCCACCTCTCGTTCTTCAGTCACATGTGTGGTGGGCACACACACACACACTCAGAGGGGTTATGTATTGCACAAAGAGAAAAAGAAAGCGATGTAGAAATGTGTTATTAGTGGATGTCCAGGGTAATGCCTTCCCAGTCCCGCACAGAAGAAAAACTAGCATCCCACCGCATGAGTAACTAAACAACTACTTGAACTGGTCAGTCGCCATTCATGAGTCGGTTGGCCTCCATGACTCTCACCGTCATCAACTCTTTTGCCGTGTCGCCCAACTTTGGCACCCCACGCAGGTACAAATGATCGCCCTCCTCAATTGGGTACAACGCACGCAGCGCAAACCAACCGCAGTCCCCAGTCTCCTCTGACAGGTGTACCTCCATCGCCCCCCTCTCATCTTCGGAGACAAGCAGTTTTCGGCACTGCTGCGCAAGCACGTTCGTGCGGCTCTTGTCGTATGGAAAGTACTGCACCATTGTGTTGTGGTTGTCATCCTCCAACTGGGGCACGGCGTCTACAAGCAGGATAAGGGTTGGCACAAACATGTCATCTGTCTTCGTCTTGAAGAAGTTTGTGCCGGGAATAAAGAGGCGAATAGCCGAAACCTCAATAGGCACAGCGCGGAGATGCAGCGCGGCAAAGCTGCGGAAGAGGTTCTCCAGAAACGTCTCCGGGTCCTCGCAGGCGTCAGTGACTATTTCAGAGAAGTAGTGGTCAACCAAGCCACTGTTCTCACCACGCTCTTTCGACATGCCGTTTGCGATGCCGTCCCGTCCCCGTGTGTCTTACAGCAGCCATCGTATGTGAGGCACAAAGCTACTCTCCTCCAGTGATGCAGTGCGGCACCTTCGTGGTGTCCCTGTGCACAGGGAATGCGATATGCAAGGGATGTGAGAAATGGAACATGTCACCGCGGGCCACACCTGCTTTCAGACAAAATCAAAAAAGCAAACAAAAAAGTAAATAAAGGAAGAAGGAAGAAAGACGCAATGAAAAAAAAAAAATGTTTTTGTGTCACTAGATAGAAGGACAGGGAGGAGAGGGTTTGCAGACACGTCGTACGGCAAGGAAGAGACACACGAGTAAAGGTCAAAGGCATAGAGGCAGCAGTAGTGTATTTCCCCAAGGAAACCCCCTTCCTTCATCCGCTTCACATACACACATGCACAAACACATGGAGTCTGAGAAAAATGTACATACATATACATATGGTTTCGTTGCTATGTGTTATTGTTGTTTTTGTCGTTAATCGCTCCTTCTTCTCTCGCTCTTACGCCTCTTTCTCGATGAAACTCAGGCGGGACGGCCGAAAATGCGACGAAACCCCATAAACACTGTGGGTCATTTGCCTTTTTCAGACGATTTCCCCCCCCCCCCACCCCACCCCATTTTCTCCTTCCCTTTCTTTGCATTCTTGAAAAGGAGCGAAAAGAAAAACGCAGGCGCACCCACACCACACATGAGCAGATTAAAAAAAAAACAAAGAGAAAAACACGCATCACCACCGGCTTCTCTCGCCCGCCTTCTACTACTGTGTAATGGGTGGAAACGTGCATGGTTCAGGCTTGCGACGGCCCGGCATGGCCGCCGCCAGCGCCTGCTGCGCGGACTCCACATAGGCCCGCAGCTTCCGGATCTCTATGCGGTTTTCCTCCAACTCCTGCGGCAGCTCCAGACGCCTCTTCGACATGACCAGACTGCCAGAGACTACATTCAGGCGGGAAGACGAGCTGGCTCGCTTCCTGGCCTGCTCTGGCCGGGATCGTCGCTTTGCCTCGTCCGTGGCCGCCACCGAGAGGTTGCGCAGCTCCACGAGCTCTGCGCGGAGGTCATGAATCTCTCGGATGAGAGAAAGGTTCTCCACCATCATCATGGAGACCTCGGAGCGATGCTGCTCCTGATCCGTCTTGCACTTGCGCCGCAGGGCCTCCACGGAGGTGCTTAGGTACTCCAACTGCGACTTAAACTCCTCCTTAATCTCCTGATCCACCTGCGCGGCACGGTGGCCGTCGCGTGCGACAACATGCCGCTGCCATAAACGCTCCACAACCTCCCGCAGCCGGGCGGGATCCTGCAAGGCTGGCGCAAGCTCGCCTACATCTGTCTTGATGCGGCTCTTGTACGTCTCAAAGTCCTTAATATGGTTCAGCATTTGCTTTATCTGTTGTTGCTGCTGTGCGAGATCTGCCTTGAGAGTATCGATGTTTTGTCGCAGGGTAATGTTGTTTTGGTGCAGACTCTCCAGCTCGACATTCTTCTCGTTTATGCGTTGATGCTCCCGCGCAATCTCCCGCTGACGTGGCTCCATCTGTGACTTGAGCTGGCGAATGCGGTAGTCAAGGACAAACTTGTGTTTTTCGAGCTCCTGATTTTGCTTCTTCAGATCATAGATTCGCTTCTCCTTCTCGCTAATGATGGCGTCGCGCTCCTCGATGTCCTGGTGCAGCTGCGACATGTGCTGATTCAACTCCCCCAGCTGCGCCATCAGTGCCGTCTTAGCGCTCTCGAGAACACTAAGCTCATTGCTGTGCACCTCCACCTCCTTTTCCATGCGCAGAGCATTCTTGCGCATGATGGCGCTTTCCCCCTTCATGCGCAAGTACTGTTCGCGAATGGTCTCGAGATCGCGACGGTTGCGATGCCGAATGCTTTGCAGTTCTGCATCCGTATCGAGCTCTAGTCGTCGTTGTGACTCCATGTTCATCTCTTTCGCGCGTTGGACTTGGCGTTTAAGTTTCTGCAGACCCTCCCTGCGCTTTGTGACAACATCGTTGAAACGCTCCGCATTCTCACGCCGCTCCCGCTCCACCTGTGCCTCCAACTCCATCACCTCCTGGGCGAACTGACTCTTGCTTCCATCCAGCCGGTGCTGCAGCTCGGTGCACTCGTCCTCAAGTCGTTGCACCTCCGCCTGTCCTGCCCGTTCGAGCTCCTCCAGGAGCGGGGTGGCTTCCGCCTCCTTCTCAAGCCGCACCGCAACAAACGAGCGCTCCTGCTCCGCCTTGGTGTTCCACAGCGCGGCGTATTCCGCCTCGAGGACGGCCATTTCATTCTTGAACTCCTCCTCACGTTCCCGCATCCGCGTATTTTGTTCGTGGCTGCGCCGCTTCTCCTCTCCTTCAATCTCCGTCCTAAGCTTCCCTGCGGTGTGTGTGAGGCTCTCAATGGTGATCTGACGATCCTCCACATCGGAGACCAAGACAAGAACCTCGTCGCCGTAGTACCCCGTGTGCCTTTGGGGGGGGCGTCCGTCCTCACGCACGTCAATCATAAACAAAGTTCCATCCTCGCCGACGGAGTAGATGGTGTTTTCATCATAGGAGAGAGCCATGCGGATGACTTTGCCGAGATGTGCCACAATAGGAACCTCCTGCACGCCAACCTGCAGGGGGAAGTTCATAAACTTAATGGCACCGTCATCCATACCACCAAATAGCAACCGCTGCTTTGGTGCAACAAGAATCGTCGTAAGTCCTTTCTCGCGAAACTCGTAATCCGTTGCATTCACGGTGTTAGAAGCCTCCGTGGTATGATAGCGGTCAATCTCCCGTAGCATTGACTTACATTGTATCTCTGCAGCTGAGGAAGCAGGGTCGCCAACCACCCACAAATTTTTATCATCGGCCGCAATAACTTGGTATTGGTAGCGTTTATCTGAATGTTCCCCGTCCTTGCGCATCTCACTGACATTCCAGTTGATGATGAGTCCGTCGAGGGAGCAGGAGACCAGGCCATTGTCTGTGGGGTATGGGGAGGTGGCGGCCCACTGAAAGGCGCTAATCTTTTGCGGATGACCCCGCAATTGTCCATGAACATCGCACGTTAGTGAGTTGTACAGATGGATCATGTTACCGTGTGCCAGGGCAAAGTACTTCCCTCCTACGGAAAACTTCACATCGGTCACGTTGCGAAGGTTAAGCACGCGGTATTCATAGAGGCAGTTCCATAAGACGCTCATCACACAAACCTTGTCCGGGAAACAGACTACCACGTAGAGTCCGCTTGGGTGAATGCTTACAGGGCCTGGAGGAGAGGAGAAGTACTGGCACATCTCTAGTCGATGTGTACTGGTGTTCCAGATACGCACACTCTTGTCCACGCCAGAGGTCACCAAAAATGGCCGCCGCACGCTGCAGTCGACACCTATAATGCCACCCACATGAAACGACTGACAAATAGGCAACAACGTCGGGGGATCCTCGCTCGAGCGCTTTGCCCACGGCTGAGAAAAATTAAAGGCAAGGATTTGGCCTGAGTGTGTCACTAATGCCATGGTCTCCTCCAGTTGATCCAGTGACAGACGTACCACACTGTTTTCCCGGCGCAGATCTATTCGTGCCACCTCTTGCAGGTCCGCCTTGGAACATGACTCCTCCACCGGGGCAGCTGCAACTATTTGCGTCACCCCCGTGTTCACCTGAAAGAGGGGTTTGTGGCTTTTCGGCAACGATGACTGCAGAGAACCTGTATCTGTTGCGGCCGAAGCTAAAGTACCAGGTGATGCATCCGCGGCTGCAGTCTTCATAGACGATGCAGGGGCCTTTTTATTGGCGTCTTCTGTCTTGTTATGTATCTCTTCCTCTGTTGGCACCGGCACATTGTAGACAATAGCGTACTCACTCTCCGCCCCGCCGCTACTCTCGTAAATGGCGACGGTGCCCTGGTCACTACCAGCGACGAACCCCGCCTTGCTCGGCACAAGCGACAACACCGTTGGGTTCGTCGACTGGGGCCGTGTGGAGGGTGGTACAGGCAGAAGTCGCTTGTATACGCCCCGCTCAATAACCATTAACTCCCCAGTCTGTGTAGAGGCCACGAGACGCTCTCCTGTAACCCACGCATGTGTCAGGAAGTTTGACGCATTTTCGAGATCGTAGCCGATGGAGGGCAGCGCCTGCAGCGCCCCATCCACATAGCGGTAGAACCGCATCATCCCCAGGCCCGACGCCGCGATCAGGAGTGGATCCTGCGGGCAAATTGTCACACATGAAACGGGAGGAGGTGTGAATAGCGCCCCGTGCGGCTCCTTCATGCGCGAATCCTGCGCGCCTGAAAGGTGGTTGACAGAGTCCTGGCTGCCACTGCGCTTGTAATCGGCGACCACGGACGTAAAGGCGAGCGGCTTGGAGCGTTCCCAATTCCAGTAGAAGAGCTTCCACTGTGGTCCACCCCCCTGCGTCGCCAGGTGCCGCCCATCCATGCTAAAATCCATCGCTACAAAGCGGTCGCTTCCCAAGTCCTGCACACTCAGCGTCTTCCGACGCTTACGCGGGACCGAGTCAATAATTTGGATCTGCGGCACCATTCCACCCTCGGCAATGGCGATAAACTTCTTGTTGGCGCTCACCGCCAGCGCGGTCAGGCCGCTGCTGTGAACGGCGGTCTCAAAAAAGCGTTGGGTGTTGGTGTTGAGGTTGTGCACCGCCACGGTCTTCCCGACGGGGTACAGCAACGTCCCCTCCTCCACCCAACTCAGGCAGCCGTAGACTTCCGGGCGGACGCCAAATGCGTGCCGCTTCACAAGAGTACGCCCGGTCCCCTCCTTTTGCTCCATCAACGCAACAGATGTTGTTTTTTTTTTTAAGAAGTTCTCCTCGCCTCTCACTGCCTCTCTCTCTCTTTGTGTATGTGTGATTGTGAAGGTACGTGTGGGTGAGAAGCAAAGAGAAAAAAAGAAAAAGACGCGGAAAAAGGCCCGAGACAAGAGTGGGCAAAATCCCGTGCAGTGCATTCGCGGGAAACAACACTCCGTCAACACCGCCACCACTCCTCCGTGCAGCCTTTAATTCATCCTCCTCACACCCCGGCACCCAAGTGCATGACACAGTTTGCACACGCACTTACACCCGCGTCATCCGTGCACAGATCTGAACAATGACAACCAAAAATACCCAAGATATTGCGAGAAGTCTTCTTTCCATTCGGGTTCCTCCCAGAGAGTTGGTATGACGCTGTGACTTATGGAGCAGAATACATAAGCATGTATACTTACATGCGTATGCATACGAGAGTCATCACCGTAGTCCATTTCACAGCCCTCATAAGGTTTGTCTCGCATCACAACATTGCCGATCATAATATATATATATATATATATATATATATCCTTGTGCCGTACTTCACCCTCTTCTGTCCATAGCTGCTGCTGCCTGGTACTTGTTCCCGATAAAGTAAAAAACACCGCGCGCCAACTCATTCGGCAACTGTCTGAACGCCAAATGGCATGGAATTTCCTTAATTTCCTTGTTGCGGTGTTTTGCGTCGGCGAGGTACTCCTGCACAGGTCGGCCCAATTCATGCAGATCCTGAATGATTTGCTTCAGTGTGCGCATGGCGTAGTCCTTGGGAGGGTAGTCCTGGTCATTGTCCATGTACTCGCCACGCACAAAGTCATCTACGAGAATGACATTGGCGTTGCAGTTCCGCACGCTCAGCGGACGATTTTCTACGATGAGAGTTTCCTCCAGGGGGCGCTTCCGCCAGAGAATGTTCTTCTCGTAGTAGTTGTCCCGGGAAAACCAGTCACGGTGGCGCACAATGTACTGCGACACACGTATCCCCACTGGGATCAATCACGTTCAGCACCTGCCGCATATACCGGTCGCTGCAGGCCGCTCACAGTACCACCTCTGCGCCAATGGAGGAGAGGCACTCCAGCAGCCCCGCCAGGTAAGGCCGGGCCACCATGCCGGCCTTCATGCGAAAGGCCTTGTCGCTGTATGACACTATTGTCTCGTCCACGTCCAGCACGAGCGTCAGCCGGCCACGATACGCCTTCTTCTTGGGACCAAGGAGCCCAAACGCCTCCTTCTGCTGCTCCTGCAACAACCACAACCTTGCCCCTACCGCAGCCATCACGACAATTGTGCCAAATAAGTAATACCGCACCCCGCAATCCTTCAACAGTTGACGCCAGTACTCCTTGAGCCGCTGGCACAGTAAAAACGGTCATCGGTGTAGTCGCTCCACGCATTCTCCCTGTTGGCGTACATGTGGATACTCGACTGCGCACGTGTGAATACGCCCCCACCCGAGGCGCTTTTTTGTATCTTTGGCGAACGTGTTGTATTGTACGTCCGGCACGACATCATGCATGTGTGCCGCAGGCCCTGGCCAAGGCGTGGCGTGGTGTGGCAGCTACCGCCAGGATCCACGACACAGCATTGCCCACAAGATGAGGTAAACAAGGGACTAGACGAAAAAACAGGCAACCACCCCGCCCTCACTACTGAGGGGACTGCGGAAAAAAGCAACGAACACAATATATATAACCGGAAAAAGAATGAGAAAAAAAGAGATGCACCAACGACCCTCACCCACCCGCAGCCCCCGCTCTCTTCATCCCTCAGTTTTTCCCCGAGGCATACGCGCGCATGATAACGCAGCAAAAGTGGCATAGGGCCGCCCCACACGTCCAATTCAAGCATTGACGCTTCATGTCACTTGTCTTTACGCATCTTCTTCTCGCCTGCGGCAAGTGTCATTGTCTGCCTACGCCACCACCAGGCACAAAGGCAGGTGAAGAGATTTACCACATAGATGATGCAGCACACAATGCATATATCGTGCAGAATGAAGATGAGGATAAAAAGCATCCCCAGCGAAGCCACGCAGCTTGCAGCACTCACGACGAAAAGCAGCGTTGGTGAGCGACAGACAGTGAGCTCCAGCAAGTAAAAGAGCATCCCCAGCGCCGCATTGGACACATGCGGCAGCCCAATGAACTGCGTAAGCGAACCGTACTCGGAGGAGAAGATACGTGTGCAAGAGAATGCACTGAAGTCACAGTACGCACGGTACACCTCGCCCAACTCCTTGGCTTTGGCGAAACGACGCTCCACGTAGTATGCGTAGCTGGAAAGAAGAAAGCCCAGCATCACCAGTACGGGTAAGAGGCACGACACGAGCGCCATAGGGGCCTCGACGTCAGGCGGACGTCTTTGATTACTTCTGATCGCTGCTTCCCCCCTGATACCGCCCTCTTTTGCCACAAACAGAGGTGTAAGACGTCCCTTGAATGAAAAGTGAGAAAAAGGAAGCGTTATGGGAAGAAAAGGCAGTCAAATACGTGCGAAAAATGCCCCCGCGTCCACGACCCCACTCCCTCCGCGTCAGCATACACAAAGACACACACAGAGCTGGAAGCGAAGGAAAACAAACAAAAAGATTGTGAACACATACACACACTTGAGAAGATTTTATTTTTTTTTTGCCCGCCACCTTTTTCGCGGTTTCTATTGTTGTTCGCTGGCCATCACGTGCATGCATGACCTACACGGGGCCGCACGCACACAAGCGAGAGAGAAAGAGTAATAGTGTGTGTCTGTGTGTGCCTGTCCGCCTCTAGAATTTTTCGGTGCGCCAGCGGCAGGACCAAGGAGAAGCGCGCGAAAGCTAGTCATCTTGTCCGGGGTTCACCGCGCGCATAATGCGCTCGTGCAGCAAAGCCGGGTCGAGTGTTCCGTCCTCCGTCATGCAACCATCAAAGCCGTAGATCCGGTCCACCGCCACGTCGTTGTGGAACAGCACACAGCACGGCAGCGTCTTAATTTGCAGCCGATCCACGAGAAACGGTGACTTCTCCGCGTCGAGTTTAACAAACTTCACGCATAACATCTTCTGCGCCAACTCAGAGAGGCGGTGGTCCACCACGCGGCAAGACTCAAAGTCTTTGTGGTAGAAGTGCACACAGGCGTTATCGCTACCACCCTTCTCCCGCACCACGATGTTGAAAAACTCATCTTGCGATATCTCGCGGTACTCGCCGTGTTGCTTCTGGCGCCACTCCACCTCTCTTGCCAGCTGCCGCTGCATCTGCGCCACACGTCGGCGGCGAAGCTCCAGCAGTTCCGCGTCCTCATCGTCGTTCTCGTCGCCATCGGCGCTGTCTTTGGGCAGCGCCCCACGCTCAAGCTGCGTCTGCTCCTTTTCGGCGGCGGGGTTGTACACCGGCACACCGTTATCACGCGGCTTCTCCCCCATCTTGCGGCGGTGCGTGGGGATCACGTCGGTCAGATCGCGGTTACGCATGTACTCCTTTGTCCCCATCTCCTCTATCGCTGACGTCAAGTTCTGGTTGGCTTTGAGGTTGGTGGCCTCATTCACCATGCCACTGCTTTTGCCGGAGCCTAGCATTGTCGTCGCAGTAAATTATTCCCCCGTGACGTGCTGCTTAGTGTGGCACCTTTTGCTTCTCTCCTCCAGTTTTTGCTTTTTTTTCCCCTCCAAGTTCAGGCCCACACACAAGCAGAGAAACAAAGAATGGGGAGGGAAGGCAGCAGGCGACACACACACACAGGCAAAAGAAAAAAAAGAAAAAAAAAGAGAAGAAAAAAAAACGCGTCAAAACAATATGTAAGAAAACAAGCTGTACGTTCCTGTTGTTAGTTTTGTCAGGTGCCTTCTATCAGCAAGGGCAAAGCCTGAGAGGAGACAACACAGGTAACGCGTAGCGCGCAAGCAACCAGAGGTTACGGGCAGCCATTTCGTCTTTTATCTCCCTTTTTCCAGAGCTGCACCTGCTCCCCCACTTCACCCGAGGTCTGGGCCCCCTCGCCTCCCAGCTATATGCCAAGCCTCTCTTGGTAGACTCGCAGTTGTTGACGGAAACCGATGTTGGGTGATGCCACATGACGCCTGCGTTGAATCAACTCCAGTGCCGCCACCGCAGTCAGCCGCAGCTTCTTGATGAGGTACGCGGCGGTAATTGTGGGTGCACGGGAAATGCCTGCCCCGCAGTGCACAAGCACCCCGGAGTGGTGTTGAATCAAAGCTGTCTCAATAAACTCGTAGGTTTGCTGAAAAAACTTCGAGATGTTGTAATCCGGTGAGTCCTGCGCGCAAACCGTTAAGTACGTAAACTCCGTTGGGAAGCGGGGCTGCACATCAATGCAGCACAACACGTGGGTCACGTTCTGACGATGCAGCAGTGCCTTGTCAGAGGCTGGGTGATAGGAACCAACATACAGTCCCGGGACAACCTCATGCATCGCCTGCAAAGCATATACATCTTGTAGCAGGAAATGTGGAACGTTCTTCGTCGCGGCCCTGGCAACAAAGGTGGCACAGTGGCAGAGTCGGTCCACCTCGGCCTGGCTGGCTGGGTAGGCATCCCGCAGCGCCTCGTACAGCGTCTCCCGGGCAGCGTGCACCGCCTCCATCTGCAGCGGGAAGTTCGTCACCGCCATGCGAAACGTCTCCAACGGTTTTTCAACACTCTCCGGGATGATGAGTGGGCCGGCGGCCCTCGTGCCCGTATTGGCCTTCAGAACAGTCGTCATCGTGCCAGTGCTAACAGCACGGCTCTCATTATCGCCAAGAGCTACCACCGTTGATGACGCCGACGACTCCTGCTGCTGTGATATAAATCGGAGCACCGCAAATACACGCTCAAGTTCCGTTGAAGGCAACACCCCACACGCCGGTGCCTCGGCCTTCGTGTGCACGTTCGCCTTTGTCTTTCCCATTTGAAACAGTAAGTCTAGTCAGCGCTTTTCCTCCCGGTGTATTTCTTGTGTGTGTGTGTGTGTGTGTGTGTGAGATAGAGAGGCACCCCCAAGATCGTACGTTTGCGCGTTCACCACGTCAGAGAGTGCGTCCCGCTGAACGCCAGGGCAATCAATGCGTGCATGCATGCACATTGGAGGGGGAGTCACTGCAGCCCGCCCCCCTGCGCCAGCGAAGTGGTGGGGCAGCCACAACGACACACGTGAGACATCTCATCAAATAGGAGGGAAAAGGTGTAGCGCATAGCAAGCACAACGCATAAAACAAAAAAAAATGACATAAAAGCAAGCAAAAAAAATAATAATAATAATAACCAAAGAGGGGGAGAACACAGACGTCAAGTGGAAACGGTTATAGTGATGTTCGCCCCCCAACAACACAGCCACCAGCTCCTTTGAGCCACTGCTAGGGGAAGCTTTTCGCTTGCACTACATTTTCAAGATGCCAGCTGCCCGCAAGAAATTGCGTTGTGTGCCTGGCAACAAAAATGCCTCGCACAAACAGCATTGTTGCCAGGTGCTCTATGAGGGCTTCCGTAAAGGTATCGCAAAGGATGGTGAAGGGATCAGCAGCGTCAGCGAGCAGTGCCTCACGATGAATCGCCAAGGCAGGGCACATAACTCCTCCATGAAGCTCGCGCACAAGCAGCATAAATCGTTGGGAAACAAGACGCTCCTGTGGTAGTTGTGAACCAACAGACAAAGAGGATCACATGTAATGGGTGCGGAATCCATGGACAGCCCCAACGCCACGTGCAGCAGGTGGCACTGATGCCCTAAAAGGGAGCGGCGTGTGGGCTGCAGCCGCTGAACCACCTCCACGGTGGCCTGTCAGTTGTGAAGGCTCACGCCAAGTAGTTGCCAGACATCCATGACCACGGCACACTCACGTCTCCGCCGCTCCAGCCAAGCGGTTGTAGCCGCCTAAAGGACCTGCAGGAACTCCTTCACCCCTTCCGCGGCGAGCACACTACCGTCGCTGTACCAAAGACAGGATCCGCGGTGTGGAACGCCTAGACGCGTCAAAGCGTAGGGGCAAGAGTAAAGGACACATTTGCCAGAGCTGCAGCACCCCCCGCGTGCGGCGCAATGCAAAGCAACGTCGCAAGCACGAGTCACACCACAGGGGGGGGGGCTATTTCGGTAGAGGCACACCACCTCCTCGAGTGCCTCCCCCACCGACTTTCACGCTTGCGGTGGCGGGAGCTCAACGTGTTGAAGCTGCAACAGAAAGAACTCCACACGCGAACTGCTGGAGGCAGCATCCACCGCGCGAAGCCGGCCCCAAAGATTCAGGTCCAACAAGGAGAAGAAAGATGGTGATGTGGGAGCGTCCCCGCCCGACAACGCCCTCGTTCAGGTTTCAGGCACATCCTCTCCTGCAAGACTATTTCATGGGCCCGCCTCATCGTTAGGACCGTTTGGCCACGTTCCCTCCCTCCCGTGTTATCCGGCGGAGTCACCATCAAGTCTGCCAGAAACAACGTCCGGCCCTTTTGTGGCGAGCCAACAGCCCACTTAACAAAAGGCTCCACCTCGGCTCGTACTTTTCAGCGGCGCCGTCGCGCGCCGACTGGGGGAAACAGAAAGTCATCTACCGCGGTGTCATATGAAATACATAATTCTCGCACTCCACTGAAGGGCCTGTCATACACGCGAGCACAAGCAACTCCACAACACGGCCGCAACGAAAAACGCGTGGCTACACGTGAATATCGCACACCACCACCTTGATGCAGCACTCCGACAAACTAGAAAAAGAAAAAGAAATCCTTGACGCAATAAAACAAATGCACGCACGTACAAACACATGCAAACGAAAACACGCATCAAAAGCTAGATACTGCCTTTAGAGAATTTTCCATCACAATATCCACTGCTACGTCGGTATCCGTCCTTTCAGTTGTTGTTGTTGTTGTTGCGTGGGTTGTGTCTTCCATCTGCGGTGGCACAAGGCAAAGTGAAACACAGAAGGACAGAGGAACTCCCTCCGCGGCGATCCCATTGGCTGCAGTCACTGTGCTGCACAAAAAGCAAACGCAGAACCGGCCAAACCAGCGACAAAGCACCACAGGCGGCGTCCACGCCGCAGCGCCTTCCGTCGCCCAAGAAACACGACGTCCCCGGGCAATCACCTTACAGCGGAACGTCTGGTTCGCTACTGTGCTCCGTCTCGCGTCCAGTACACCTGACCCTCCATCCTTCCCTCGTCCATCTGGTGGCCCCGCTCAACCGCAGGGAGACG